TTATATGGTAGATTTAAAAAAGTCAAAGTTTGACCTTGTAGTTGACTTTGTACCAGATGAATCCAAATTGTCCAATTTCAATGAGAACTTTTGATCATGATGCAATTCTTAGCATATTAATATCTTCTTAAAATCCATGAGATGATGAAGCCTTGAATGGTACCAAAATGAAGACCTCAAACCCTAATTCTTGACTTTTCATATGAGGAGTCAAAACCCTAATCTCCTTCACCCACTTGATGAATTCAATGATGAAACCCCAATGTGATGAGATTGTGATGAAGATAACAATCATGGGTGAATGGGAAGTTTGAATCACTGAGGGGTACACATCTTACTGATCAATCAACTGTTGGATCCTCTTTCTCCAACACACATATCTTGTATAAGAAACAAACACAACAAGACAACACATTTGTATTTTTATGAGGTTAGAGATGCATAGATGAATTATATGATTTCTAAATAATGAAAAAAGGGAGGTGGTATCTTAGATAAAAATTAGGGTACAACACTTTGTAATCCACCATCACGTGCATGGATTATGAGTCCCTTTGTTCAGCAGAGTTAATATCACCCACAAACAGAGCAGTAACCTCTGAAATGGTGGGCATGTTATAGACGCGACCGTCACCAGATCTACTTGAAATTAGTTTCAACCTTAAGTCTTGGAATGTATTTTCCCTCAACACATCCCTTGCCATTTTAAAGGCTTTAGCATGAACATTTTTTTTCATCCAACATTAGCTTTAAGTTGGTGACTATATCATTTTCGAGGTTTTTACTATCTCTACATGAACAATGACACAAATGTTAGCACAATCTTTTAGCTTCAAGTGGGTGACTATATACTTGTCATAGCAATGTTAGAAATCAGACGTTTACCTGGAACAACCTATTATGTTCTTGACCTCATTATCAGTATCAAAGATGAAAAGTTTAGCATATTGAGGAGGTTTACTAGATTTCGAAGCATTGTTCCGATTCAGTGACATGTTTGACCATGAAGTCGCAAAGTTGGAGGAATGTTGCACTTGGAATAAGTTGTGTCAAATTTCATCCCAGGAGAAGTGAAGGAGAACATGGCATTGTAAGTTCTAATGTTGGTTTGAAATTTTTTACTAAGTGTCAATATTCTATTGAAGAGGAGTTGATGTAACAAAGCAGAAGGCTGTGTCATCAGTGGCAGCACGACCTTTCCACTTTTGAAGCACATATTAAACTTAGATACTGAAGTATGTTTTATGCTCATGATACCATATACAAGCCTTACAATGTTGACATTCCCATAGAGGGTTTCTAATATCAGAATATTCTGCATTGATAAATAGTTGAGTGAGAATGTCAAATTAATTGGAATGACATAAAAAATGAATATACTAAATCATCTTAAAGGTACGAGTCAGTAACTATATCTTCAAAAGCCTCTTAATCAGATTCGCAAGAATTTGCAAAACTATGCTCTGAATCTGAAACCGAATTATCATCAGTAGAAGAATAAGTCAGGGACATGCGCTATGTAAGGCTTGATGATTGATAATTAGATGAAGCATGGAGAATATTCTTCAATTGAACTGTATTGTGCAGACGATTGTTGTTGGAGGTACCATTGTAAGGAGGACATGGTTGGGCATAATTAGAAATAGACGCGGAAAAGTTTAGTGGGTGGGATGATGTGGTTAGGATCAGTCTACTTGTGTGTGTACTAATGTAGATAGGTAAACAAACATCCCTTACAAAAGTGGTAGGCAATTATTCCACCATGTCTATTATATGCAAGGTAAGAAAGGTTTGTGGTTGTTGTTGGTCACAATTGGGAGTTAACTACTGAAAGTTTTGTGTTTGTATTTTTGATGGTGTATGGTTAGAAGTGGTTATAACAGGTGTCTTAGAGGTTGAATTATTGGGGTTCAAGGTTACTGGTGACGAAACGTCATGTGTAACCGTTGAAGTGAATGTGGTAAACAAATTAATCCCATAATTCATGTCAAATCTTCTCTTTTTCACATGGTGTTTACCGTGAAAATTGGTAAGCAATCGCTGATCTTCCAAAAAAGGTTATTTTGGTTACTTGCAGGATCGATCAGTTTGATCCTAGGATATAAGCTAAGTGTTTCGTAAGTTTGGATAGGTTTTAAATGAAAAAGGTTCGACATGATGAAGATAGAACTTGGTAAAAATGAAGTAAAAGCAAGATGAAGGTAAAAAACTTGATAAAATTGCAAGTAAAGTGCAAGATAAAGTAAAGTTGAGTAATTTAAAAGGACTGTAATGGTAAAGTTTGCAGAATGTTAAATGGAAAGGATTGTAAAGAAATGTAAAGACTTGACTTTAATTAAAATATGGTGATTCAAACGCACATTCTCAAAATTCTTTCTCACACAGCGGATACTCGAATAAATTTGAGTGACTTGTACTAATAAGTTGAACACACAGAATTTTACACAAATTTCCTATATTTATACAAGTAGTAAATAACCGTCGAACGGTTGCTTCAATCCAGGATGAGGACAAATGTCCTCTGCATGTTCTTCGATCCCTATCTTCATGCCACGTTGCTTTTCCTAACTGCCAAGTGAACTTCCTTTCCCTCCTTTCTTCGAATTCAAATTCACTTGCTTGCTGATACAAGAACCTCTAGGTCGAAGACCACAAGAAACTCTTGGTCGAAGACCACAAGAACCTCTTGGTCGAAGACCACCTTTAACTTAGAAAATTCTCTAAGTGTTTTCTCCTTCTTAGAAAGGAAGACTTCGACACCACCCCTTTTATAGGCTCTTCTTGTTGAAGTGTCCTCAACTTTAGATTTATTCAATCTATTTTTATCCAATAAGGTCAATATGTGTGGGTGTTGAATTTAGGAGCTAACAAATTGCCCCCCAAGAATGTCAGTTTCGACACAGGGAGAAATAGTCATTCTTTGATATTTTTATTCGACACCTGTCCATTTCTTTTGGTTACACAAGTTCATACTGAACTTTTTGTCTTCTACCAACTATTGTTGAGATCAGAGTCATCATTACACTTTTTCCAAAATGTCACCAACAGTCAGCCGTTACATGCTGCCATGATGACCATTATCCCTATAACCTAGGAAAGCATGGAAAACGTTCCCATCATTCGCCTACATGATTGCTCCAAAGATCACCACGTGTCCCACTCACTCTGCAACATTAAATGACTTTGAGGGAAAACACTCTTCCCTAGCCTCTATAAATAGCCGCAAACATCCCCTTTGGAATTTTTCCTAACCATCTGATATTTCTCGTCTCTTTGCATTCAAAAAAACATCCTTAAAAAATTTATCTCTTTCATAAACTTTCTAACAATAAAAAGCCATGGATTTTCTCTCAAATGCTCCAAACAACCAAAAGACAAAAGATGCCTCTAATTCACGACAACAAAGAGAATCTTTCCAAACTAACTCTGTTCATGCTTCGTCTAGGGAACGAAGGTTCGTTCCTGAACCTATGACCCAAGAAGAACGTGATGCATACAACTCACAGGTACTCATTCCTGTTAGATATTCTGGATAAATGTATGCCATGTATGGTTCATTGTCTGTGTGTCTTGAAATCCCTCAATAAAACAACGTTTTTTTCCCAACTCACCCTAGACTAAAACCCATAGGGTGCACAAAGAAACCTAGGAACGAACCTGAAGATGCAACACCTGCTAACCAACAACATTCCCAGACGAAGGAGGATATAAACCTTCAGTTTATGAACAAAGGGAATATAATATTTAGGTCTTGCCCTAGCTTGACCTCAGAATACTCAGAATGGTTGTCGAAGATGGAAGCAGCTCAATCCCAAATCTAGAAAAATATGGGAATATATGACCTAGTCATGCTGTCGAAGACTGGGTTAGCTTATTGCCCTCTTATGCTGGTGTCTTCTTTGTATTTTTGGGACAACACACATTATACCTTCCATTTACCTTGTGGAATGGTGACACCCACTCTTTTTGATATCACATCTATCACTGGCCTTCGACCAACTGGTGATTACTTCGACCATGAGGATATGTCTGAAGACACCATTGGGTTTTCATCCACGAAACCCACTTATACCACCTTCACCAATCATTTTCATGACAAATCAACTGATGTTATCTCTAAGGTGGGACACATAGCTTTCTTATCTTTGTGGTTGTCTCGCTTTATTTTCTACACCAAGTCACTCCAAGTGACAAAGAAAATGCTCACTCTAGACACTCAACTGCACCATGGCTCGACCTTTGTTTGGCTGAATTAATTCTAGCCAATCTTTATGAGTCGAACATTAATGGTGTGACTCAACTCAAAGTCATAGGTGATAAAGTAAGCTTTCTTCTTTCTGGACCTTTTTGGCTTCTCTAACTTTAACTTAATGCCACTTTCGAATCATTTCTCCCTCAGAAAAACACAATTAATGAGAGGGCTCCAGAAATTCTTAACAGGAGATCGAAGGAACCAGATTGGTCTTATTGACTCCGACAAATGAAGGCCAACAATTTCAAAAGGCCTTTACCAGCTTTGTAATGATGTTTGCAAAATGAAATGAGTTTGTTTCGATGATGGCTCCATTTTCTAATCGAAAGGTGGGTCCAGCATGGTTTACTCGACTATATCCTTCGACTGACAATCATGTTGAGGACGATGTTGTCGAGAAATATGTGGCTATTTGGGAGTCCTTTTTGCACCCAAGGATTATGCCACTGAGATTCAAAAGTTCCAAGAATCAACTCAGCTTGATTTCTTACCAGCCGGACCTTGTTCCTCACCAGTTTGGCATTATTCAATCGCTTCCAAATCCCATATATGCCCGAGAAAAGTCTTTGCTATATTATAATGCAGACTATTCTGAAAAGGCTGCCACCAAGCAAATTAGTAGATACGTTGGTCGAACTGTTTTGACTT